TATAGATAGTAGAATAATAGTATAAAATAATCAATGCACATGGTAGGAATATATATATATGCTATGGTTCTTTACATGGTAAAATAACATATATACAGGATATAGTAGAATAGTGTATAGTATATACTTTATAGATATTAGAATAATATATAACCTAATATCAATGCACATGGTAGGAATATATATATATGCTATGGTTCTTTACATAGTAAGATAACATTTATACAGAATATAGTAGGGTAGTATATAGTATTTACTTTATAGATTTTAAGATAATATATAACATAATCAATGCACATGGTAGGATAACATATATACAGGATATAGTAGAATAATATATAGTATTCAGTATTTTCTCTCGTCCAAAATTATAATTCTTGATGATAAAGGTTCATAGGGAACTTGGACATGAAAAGAAGTAGAACTTAATTTAACTAAGTTAGTTAAATTAAACAACTTCTTCAATTAAACAAAGTTCTACTTGTTTTCATGCCCAAGTTCCCTATGAACCTTTATCATCAATATATAGTATATACTATATAGATATTAAGATAATATATAACATAATCAGTGCACATGGTAGGAATGTATATATGTTATCATTCTTTAAAGCAAGTCGACTAACCAAGTAATATTGATCATCTATTTTATGTCGAACTGCAGTAAGAAATAATGAAAAAGAAAAAGAAAAAAGGAAAAGATTTGCAAGCGAGTAGAAGTCATCGTCATCGTTCGGAACTTTATGATATTTTATGCACGCATAAATTTGCATTCGACGAGCTTTTATAGCCCTTGTTATACTTCACTTCATTTTTCTGTCTGTCTATCTTTCTTTCTCTCTCTATTCGTATCAAAACAACAAAAAATCCAATGAAAAACAGGTTTCATCAGAGAAGTAACATCAAGAGTAATGGGTTGAAAAAGGTGAAGGAGATTGGGGGGGAGGTATAATTGAAAAAAAGATTTTGTATACTTTTTCTTTTTTATTATACTTAGCTTTTACTAAGCGAAATCGACGACTGCTTTTTCAGAGCATGGAAGATAAAATTGTATATGTAACATCGTGATGTATATCTATAAATATAAATAAATAAATATATATATAGAGAGAGAGAGAGAGGGAAAGAGAAATTCTTATAATCTAGTATCGGTTAAAGTATCATGGGGAGACTACGCGTTATGCGGAAACTCTTGAGTTAGTTGATTCGCAGCATCCGATGAGCGATGGACCATAAAGATTTCCTTTTTCACATAGAACGGCCATTGACTTTTCTCCACTCCATTTTTTCTCTTAAAAATTCATTTTAATATAATTGTCTGAATAATTATTGATTAAACACAATTTTTACAGACAATTCTTATACAATTTATGAAATTTCTATTTGAAAATGTTATTGAAAAATAAAATATGTTTAAATATAATATAGCGAGTAGTATAATTAATATTATTTCAAAAATATTTCATTTTATATTCCCTAGATTGTAACTGTGAGTGTTGGTAATATATTAATAATTATATGTAAATATAAAAAAATTATTGTATTAATTGATTTTTTGAATTTGATTGAAAATAAATATTGCAAAGTATATTTAATTAATTTTTTCATCATTCTGAAGACACATTATTGCAATACAATTTGGCCTAATTCAACATAAGACTGATTAAATCAAATTTAACTAGAAAAAAAAGAATAAATAAAAAGAAGGATAAATAATATCGACCTGAATAAAAAATGCGTTCTCGTTGATGATGTTTCATAGTGTATTTATCGAAACGATATATCGAGGTCGACATAGTTCATAACTTTTAGTGCGTGGGAATATATGTTAGAGAACAACAGTTGAAGCTATTTGAGTTGACTAAACTTACGCAATTTTCACGCCAACGTAAAGAAGATTTAACGTAGGCCGATAACTCTATCATTCTTTCATACTTTCAATTCTTTTTTTTTCCAATTTTTTTCTTTTACAATCTGTCGCAAGGACACGAATAATATTACATTCATTTTATTTTCATTTATTTGACAACAACAAAAAAACAATTCAATTAGAAACATATATCATTATTATTAATAATTGTTATTATTAAATCTTATAGGATAAGTATAACGAAAAAAAATTCACGTAGAAGATGAATTTATATTATAGTTAAAGTTAATTAAAGAATAAAGCGATTTATTTGAAACATTCCTCTCTCTGGCATCTAAATTATTATTAATAATAATTATAAATCTAAGAATAGTATAACGAAAAAAAATTCACACATAGAAGGTGAATTTATATTATAGTTAACGTTAATTAAGGAACAAAGTGATTTATTTGAAACATTCCTGGCGCCTAATTGTTAGGTAAGATTTAACGGTAACTTTCCGTATGATCTGTAACGGTTGCAAGTCTCATTAGGTAATCGAGTTTAACAATGCACGACTAAATTATACTCTCACCTTTTCCATTGTTTTTCTTACCAACCCCCACCTGTTCATCCGATAGATTTCGAATGAAAATACGAGTTAATATTTTCTTTCATTGATCAAACATATTTTCGAATAATTTGATGATCGTAAAGTTATAATAATAATACTCACTTTCATTGATACCATTTTGATTGATTTGGATTAAACAAATATATATACTAAATTCAATAATTATTGAAATTTTTGTAGGACGTAATGAGCGAGTACGAACGAATCAAGCGTTCGTGCTTGAAACGAGGTGAACTATGGGAGGATCCTGAATTTCCAGCAACCCAAGCATCGGTATTTTATCATCAAACACCACCGTTTCAATTCCAATGGAAAAGGCCAAAGGTAACACGCTATATAGTTATATCAATGAAGATCTAATCGTGGTGTCGAATTTTTCGGTCGCATCTAACTTCACTTTTCAAAACGCACTAAAAGAAGTATAACTTCAGAAAAAGAAACAAAAAATTAAATCCCGAAAAGTGAGCATGTTCTACGATTCGCTCCAATTATTTTCGCGAAACGGAAAGAATAATAAGAAGTTGAGGAAGGACTTAGGAACCGTAACGAAAACAGTACGCAGCCTTGACACGTAGAAGGTAGTACTAGTTGGTGTTGTCTTTTCCTTGTCGTCTACCTTGTCTCTTCGTGACTGTAATCGCGGAACCAAACTCTTTCGTGAAGCACACTACGTGCTTCTAACTCGAAGGAGTAACGGTTAACCTTTTTTTTCTTGTTTTATTCTTTTTCTATACAACACTACTCGGTTCGTAGATTTTTCTTAGTAATTTTATGCATTTCATCCTGTTTACCATGTGATATCTTATTATTCTTCTACTTCATAGTCTAATTCGAAGTAATTGTATTCCGATAAATTGTTTAGTCTCATTGTTTATTATTATTTCTTTGTTTTTGTTGCTTTTTTATTTTTTTTTTTTTTTAATTTTTATTATTATATATTTTATTTTCGGTGATCTAGATTTTTTTATTTACGTGCGAGAACTTTCTAATGTAAATTGGATTGGAAAATCGTGATCTCAGTTAACAGGATCAATGATCTTTACGACAATTACGTAATGTTGCACGATGAAACGTAGAAATAAGAAACTTACGAGTATACGACAAGGGAATCAACGACGCGTAAACCGGATCCCATTTTCTATGTTTCTGAACGACAGAAGTTACGGGGCTTTCTCGAATGCGTACATAAATACGTTTAACCGTGCTGATAAAAGCAAAGCAAACGACGTTTCCGCAATGGGGAACTTCGCAACTTGAATTATTGAGTTCTTTTAAATTAAAAGTATATAATGTATATATATCAAGTCGAATGGATAAATATAATCCATTTTATCGGTAGATTTCTTAGCGCTTCTACGAGCTGACTAATTAACGGTAATTAATTGTACCAAGCGGTACGAAAGCGTCGCACGTTTCCGGACCACACGAGAAAATCCATTGTTAAACGCAACGAGTTTCTTTATAGCGGGATTTCTTAACGTAGGGTACCTGGTCCGAGCTTGTTGTTTAATTATTTATCATTTTTCTATAGTAATAAAGATAGCAATATAGAGTGTTAACAATATATCAGATATAGATATATATCTATACTTTAAATATATCAAAAATATATAATTATACTGTATATACATATACAGTTATTTGTTAGTATATTAAAGATTTTTCATATATCTGTTAAAAATAAAATGTTAACCTTAATTCAAGTAATTAATTTTCCTTTATAATTTTCCTATAAATTAATAAATAATATAAGAATATAATTGTTTATATTTTAAATTTGAATGTTATTTAATTCATAAAAAAACGTTGATTTCAACAGGAACTTTGCAACCGTCCGATATTCGTCAGCGATGCACCAGCACAATTCGACGTAATTCCTGGAAAAATGGGTGAGTCAAAGAATTTCTACGTTCATTCATTTTCCACGTATCGATCATTCAACAAGTTATACTCATACGGATGCGAATCCCGTTCCCATAGACTTTCTTCGCGATCCAATGACCTGAAAATCATTCTCAACCTTCGACGAACGTGGGATTTTCAAATGTAGAGGCGTTTCTCCGAACACGGGTCAAAGTTATTACAATATTTCCAAACCTTTCTTCCAAGGTTTCCTTTTATTTTAACTTATCCATTTATAATACATAAAAATATTTTTTCTATTTGTCAAAACTTTTTCAAAACGAAATGAACGATAAAAAATAGCGTGACACTTAATACCTTGCACCATGTTTATATAAAAATATTACTTTTTCGAATAAATTAAAACTTAAAACCCGATATCGTGATCACAGTAAAGATAAATCTACGCTATAACGTAATTTTATTTTCAATTGTAAACACTTCATTCGTAATTTGGTTTGTAGGATCGTGTACGGTACATACATATATATATATATATATTTTACTACTTTTCAAGGCATATAATAACAGCTATTACATGACAAACGGTGGTAATTAAGTAATTAGACATCCTGTCGCATCAAAGTAACCCATAATGCTAACTCTTATAGTGACTTGATACCGTTAATACTGCATTCTACTGTACAAATTGAATCGAATTAATTCTTCAATGAAACGAAGGTCTTTGCTATTCGCTCGGTTAGTATCTATCATAGGTGCATTAGTTATCACGATAATACATTTTTTAAAACACGCCTGGGTCAATAAGTTTTTTAATCTATTCTAAATAATACAAAAAATATTACATAATAATTTATTTTAGAATATTATAAATCATGAAATCAATTGTTTTCATTTAATCCACTTCAACAATTATCATCATATACGAGTATATATTTATTTATTAAAATATAGGGTAAAAAAATAAAGATAGTTACACTTATTAATTAATTTAGAAGAAAAAAATCCTATGGGTTGATTTGAACTTGTTTAACGTGATACTTTTTATTCGATCGTTTAAAGGATAACGCACACCTGCAAATATAATATATGTATACATGAAAAACATGTTACTATATATATATTTAAATTTCTTCCTGCTTCCTTATAATTTTGTCGCAAGAGTTTACGTGCAAATTTACAATCACGAAAGAAGAAAAATGACATTAACGGAAGTCATGCTAGCTGATACCTATCGTAGTATACATTCCAGAAGTTATAACATTCGTTGCAAGTCAAATGCAATTTGTCCCGTTAACGAGTACGCAAGAAATACTACCACAAACCAAGTTCGTAACAGAATGATGATGATGATGATGATGATGATGATGATGATGATAATGACGCGTAATAATTTGCCTCGACCTACATATTGCACAACGACAAATTTTTGACGATCTTCTTTCAAGGTCTTACGTTCACAATTCCCAACCCTAACGTGATATTTGAAATCATTTGCAAAGTAAGATAAATGCAAATGCAAACTCTGTGTATTTTTTGTTTGTTCTTTTTCCTGCTTTAAGCAAATATTTGAGAAAACTTTACCAACTTTCGAATTCTTTCACGATTACTTTACTCAGGTTATTTATTTCTAAGTTTCCTAATCCCACGTAACATTCACCAAAGAACTTGACACTTACATTGAATGACCATTAAGTCAATTAAAATCATTTACGAAACACAATGACTAGAGACAATAATTATTCTTTATTCTATAATGTTCAATTTAAACGATTTAAGTATGTGAAATACTGATTTAAGATAATTATACAATACTAAATAAGTTTTAACAATGAACGGATGTTTATATCCCATTTGATGATTAATATCATTTATTGTTGGAATCATTTTTTTTATTAATAAAATATTAATGTTAAATTAAAAACGTTTAACACTATTATTAATTATCACGTTTTAATTAATATTGTCATAATGTACATTGATCAATGACCTATCATCGTTTCTTTACGATGTAATTTCGTATGATGTAAACTGGGTTTACCCCATAAGAAAGAGAGAGACAGAAAGAGTGAAAGTGGAACGACTATGGTTTGTATTTAACTTTAAATGAAGATTACGAACACGAACGAAGGATCATGATCCATGGTTTTTATACTTTGTTTGGAAATTGTTCCCCTTTGCAAATGAACGATTCTCACGAATCAAATGGGGTTTGGGGGAGATCAGGAATGATCGATCATGATTAACTAACATTCTCATAAATATTCTTACCGTGACCATAATTAATTGAGATTAGGGTATTTACATTGGGTTAAAGTTGGACAGATAAAAAATGTTTTGTTCAATAAGATGGAAATAAATGTTCTCCAAATTTTCTACCAGTCCAACTTCCCTAAAACACTTTTATTATTAATATTTATATAATTAAATTACAACAACTTAATTAAAATTAAATTAAATTACGATAATAAATCGTCAACGTTGATAACACCTAATTGCAAAAACTATTATAACAAGCGTGGGAAAAAGTTAGATACGTTATTAGCAACTAAAAGTAAAATAAATAAAAAAGATAAATGTCGGAAGATTTAACATTTTTGTTTTTTTATTCCTCATTTGGTAAAGAGAAAACATGATAGAGAGAGAGAATGATCTATAAAGTAACATAGATTCTCGTATCTTCGTTCAAGGCTGTGAGAAAATTTTCTTTTAAAAGGATCGATGAACCAGTCACTTTCAATTTCGAAAGCCTAATCGATTAGGTCTTGTCAACGTTTTTTATTTTATTTTCTCTCTCTCTCTCTTCTTTTTTCTTTTTATTTTGTATTTTTTTAACAAGAACATTCACATTAAAGCGATGAGTAAGGGTCGATCGTAAATTATTACAGGCTGTTCAGACACTTCGTTTAAAACTACGTCCATGAATCGAGATTGAAGTAAAGTAACATGCTGTAAAACCCATAGTGCCCGTCTGTTTTTATTACAAGTAATAGTAGTAGTAGTAGTAGATACGTTAACGTCAACTATAATTGTGCAGGCTCATTTAAAATACGATTATCAAAACGTCGATTAAACCTAATCGTTAACCAACAACTTTTCCCAAAAAATTTCTAATATCATACTGGCAGAACAAGTTTATTAATACCAAATGATCAAACTAGATAAAATATATATATATATGTATGTATATATCTTTCAAATAACGAACGAGTTTAATAACACAGTTACTTCAATATTTCAAGTTAAAAAATAGATTGTATTTATCATTTAATCACTTTCCCATAAATCAATATCACTCTAATTTAATGTATCATATTTTATACATAGTTTCTTTAATAGAAATAAATATAGGAGTATTTCCTGTTTAAGATTTTTCTTCTTGTCTAATTTAAAGATTCAAATCTTTTAATTGATATATTTTATTTGTATTATATTTTCTAAAGCTTTGACACTGTGTACTTATATTATTTCTATTACATTTTCTAAAGCTTTGACACTCTGTACTTATATTATTTGTATTATATTTTCTAAAGCTTTGACACTCTG